TGGGCCCCGTCGGCGCTGTAGGGCCCGTTGTGCCAGTAGGACGAGTCGCAGACCGTCTGCAGGGAGTTGATTTCGGACGCGGAGGAGTTGGCGTCCCTCCTCTTGGACCGCTTTCTGTTCCTCAGGATGAACACCAGCATGCCAACCACCGTGAAGGCGGAGGTCACAAAAACCAGCAGGAGCCCTGGCACCAGCACCGAAATAGAGACCCGGCTGGTCTCCAAGTAGGAGTTGGAGTGAGTACCTGTCTCTGTCAACCCGGTGCTGTTTTTGTTAGTGGAAGTTAATGTGGGCGAGATTTTTAACTGAGGGCAAATCACGTCGTTGGAGAGAGACTCGAAATCCTCCTTGAAGAAATCTTCAGGGGACTCGCACCTCAGGTCGCTCATAATCACCTTGGGGCGCAGCATCTCCGCCCACTGTTTGAAAGGCACGATAGGGCAAGTACAGTCCCACGGGTTGCCGTGCAGGTCGATCTGGGTGATGGAGGTGAGCTGGTCCAGCACCCCCGCCACCGGGAGGTACATGAAATAATTGTTGTGTATGCTCAGCTTGGAAAGCGAGACCCCGGCGAACACGTCTACTGGGAGAGACCTCAGCAGGTTGTTGTTGAGGATGAGGACCCTCAGTTTGGGCATCGCATTGAAGGTGCCGGGCATGATCAGCTGGATGCCATTAAACTCCACGTTCAGATACTCCAGGTTTTGCAGCCCAGCGAATTTCTCCCGGGACAGGGTGTCTAGGTAGTTGCTATCCATGTAGAGCCATCGGAGATCAAAGAGGTTCTTGAAGGTGTTGTTCTCGACGGTGGCGATGTTGTTGTTGCCAAGATCAAGTAAATTAAGTTTCCGGTAATCCAGAAAGTGGGATTTCCTGATGGTGTGTATTTTGTTGTCTCTCAGAAACAGCTCCAGCACGTTGGAGGGCTTGGGCTTCAAATCCACCAAGCTGCTCACGTTCCTGTCGTTGCAATTAACCTTTAAACCCGAGCCGGGGATCTGGTCGCAGCTGCAGATCTGCGGGCAGGAGGCGGTGGCCGGTAGCTTGCTCTTCGCGCTGACTGTCGACACGGCAGCCGTGGGTCTGGTCTTGATTTGCCAGTTGACGGGAATCTTTGTACCTCCGTTTGGAGCGGATCCTGGCGTGGCGGGGTCTTCTTTGCCATGTATTTTAAAGGGGGTTGGAATGGGACCAGGATCGCAGGTTTCTTCTTCGGCAGGGGGAGCAGCGAGGCTAGAATCCACTCTGTTCTTTTTGCACAGCTCTTGCTCTGTGGTCTCATTTAAATCTTTGCCCTGCAACCTAGTGGGAGCCTCACAAATCACTCTGCCGATCAAAGCGTTTTTGGGTATGTTTTCCAGCCATTCCTTCAACGACAGCAGATCGCAAGTGCAGTCCCAGGGGTTATCCTCTAGCAGGATTTCAGCAATGCCTGGGATCTGCTCCAGGACCTCCTCGTAAGGCAAGGTTTTAAGACGGTTTCCCCGGAGGTCGAGATGAGTGATCGGCACATACTGAAACACGTTGGGGGGCAAGGTGCTGATGAGATTGTCATTTAAAATTAGCACCTCTAGCTTGTTTAAGTCCCTAAACGCTCCCGGGTCAATATCCCGCAATAGATTAAAATCTGCCTGGAGGTATTCCAAATCGTCCAGCCCCAGGAAAGTCTGCTTCCTGAACGATTTGATCTTGTTGTTGTTTATATGCAAGCGTTTCACCAGCTGCAGCCCGAGAAAAGCCCCAGGAACAATCTCATGCAAACCGTTGTTTTCCATGTGCAAACTGACTGCATTGTAAAAGTTAGCAAACTCATTAGGGAAAAGTCGAGTCAGGGAATTTCCATGCAGGAATAAATGGTAAAACTGGGAAGTTGGGGCGGTGAAATGTTGCAGGCTGGTAAATCCCTTTTTCTCACAGTCTACGTGCAAATCCCCTTCTATCTCGTTGCAGGCACAGATCTTCTCTTTGCAAACGTCCCCTGTAACGTTTCCAGCAGCAAAACAAAGAGACGTCTCCAGCAACAGAATCCAAAGCAGCATTTTTAAACCGAGCAATTCATTCCCGATCTCATCACAAAGTAACAGCAACCATCCTCCTCACACGGAAAGCAATTCCAGTTCTTTCAATACATGAAATGTCCGAACCACCACCAAAGAGGGGGGGTTAAAAAAAATGTGGGGAGGGGGAGCAGGGAGGGTCGGCGGAGGG